AAACCTAGTTCTCCTTCTGGGACACCCCCTCCGCCACCCCCCCAAATAATAATGGCTTGAAGAAGCCTGAGAAAAGACGGGGATTTTACTGGCGAGAGTTGGAGGTGGGGCGTGAAAAGCCAGAGCACACCTTGGCCCTGCCAGAGCCTCACTAGGATGTAGTCGGTGCCACTGTGGTGGTTTTGGAATAAGCCCCCAGGTGCTATAGCACTTGTCTGTTTCTCAGTCTGGGTGCTGGTGACACAGGTTTGTTCAGTTTGTGAAAATTTATTAAGCTGTCCTCTTCTATTCCGTGTACTTCTCTATATGTCAATATACGGCGATAAACAACTTTGCTTAAAAAATCATTTCCAGAAAGATAAGGTATTTAGAGCAGGGCATTTTAATAAATGCTTATCCTGATGATCCGCCTTGAGATAAAGTAATACAAAACACTCCAGACTTAAGAAACTGATAAATTAGGATAAGTGGGCATTAACTGAAAGATTTTTTTCTTGCCTTACAAAAAGGATGAATGATAGAATGTCTTTGCTTCCCTAAGTATTTAAAACGAAATTCTATTGAGACATGAAACTTGTTGAGGGTCATGACCACCCGCGAGGCACACCTGCACTTTAAAGACCGTTTCCTTCCTCTGCTTCCTTCTCCTCAGCTCTCCTAGGTGCAGATCAGTGAGTCACTTAGAATGCAAAGGGCTTCAAACCATTTTGATTGGATGTGCTCCAGCAGAGGCCGGAATTTGGCAAGGAGGAGGCTCTGATAATCTTGGAAGGACAACTTCAATATGTGGTTCCATGTCCAGTAGACAGTACCTGGCGACTTCCTGAGACTCCCTTCAGTTCTAGGGTGCCACGGCTTTATGAGGTAGAAAGAACACAGTGTTTTTTTTTTTAAAAAAAAAACAAAACGAAACGAAATGGAAACAAAGTTCTAGAAAAGTCAAGTTGTGCCCCAGAAATAAAAAGGGGCCCCAAAGTATATGTGTCATAAATGAATAATGAATTTCTTTTCTGGGTCTCGGCTTTCCCCTCCTCCCTATTACAAAATTGCCTAATGGTCAGGAAGCTGAACAAGATTTTACCTGAGAGAGGGCAGAACCAAACCATGCTAGATCAAATTCTAGGTAAGAATTTCTGACCTGTGTTCTACCCTGAGTCTGCTTGCACTAATGATATCCATGAGGTACTAAAGAAGTAGAAATGGTCCAAGGGCCAATATACTATAATTTGCATTTATTTTAATGTGATCACGTGTCCCGGATTTTTATGGACAATCTGGTGGACTTTAAGTAACCAATCACTTTCTTAACTGAATTTTTTATTCAACAAGTATTCATTCATTCATTCATTCATTCGCGAAATTACTTGCCAATGGTGTGCTGAGCTAATTGGAAAAACAAATTTTGATCTGAAACTGCACAAAAAATTAATTTGAAATGAATCATAGACCTAAATGTAAATGCTAAAACAATCAAGTATCTAGAAGAAAACAAAGGAGATGACCTCTGTGGCCTTCCTTAGGCTGGGCAGAGATTTCTTAAACAGGATATAAAAAGCACTAGTCATAAAAATAAGATTAATAAATTAGGCCTCTTTAAAATTAAGAATTTCTGTTCATCAAAAGATAACATTAAGAGAATGAAAAGAAAGACGCCGACGGGGAGAAGACACATCTGCACCGCTCATGTTGGACAAGGGACTCATAATAGAATCTGTAAAGAACTATTATAGGGCAGGAAGACGGGTAACTGCCTACAAATAGTCAAAAGACTTCGACAGACACTTCACTCAAAGGGTATCAAATGGCCAATAAGCACATAAAAAGTTTCTCAACATTACTGATTATCAGAGAAATATACATTGAAATCACAATGAAATACACACACCTCTTTTTTTTGTTTAAGTAAAAAGACCGACACGGATACAGGTGAAGATGTGGAGCAACCAGGGATCTCCCATGGCTGGCTGGAACATAAGTCACTGTACCACTTTGGAAAACTGTTTGGCAGTCTATTTAAAGCTTGATATATGTATACTCTATGATCCCACAATCCCCATCCTGGATATTAACCCAAAGTCAATGAATGCTATGTCCACCAAAAGACGCATATAAGAATGTTTGTAGCTCAGAGGGTACAAAGGGTCAGTTATGCAGGATAAGTTCTGGGGCTCTAATGTAGAGCATGACAACCAGAGATAGTAGCACTGGTTTATATATTTGAAATTGGCTAAGGGAGTTGATCTTATGCATTCTCACTGCGCCCCCCCATCCCGCGCACACCGAGCAAGGTGATGAACATGTTAATTAGCTTAGTTGTGGTGATCATTTCACTTGGTGTATGTATATCAAAATACCACATAGTACACTTCAAATATATACAATTTTTATTTTTCAAGTACACTTCCATAAAACTGGGAAAGATTATTTGTAAGCAGCTTCACTTGTGACAAGCAAAAATTTAATGCAACCCAAACATCCACCAATAGAATGAGTACATAAATTATTGACTATTTATATAATAAAATAATTCACGGCATCAGGAAAGAAAGAACCATTGTTCTATGCAACACGGTCGAATTTCACAGACATGCTACTGAGGGCAAGAAGCCAGACACAAAAGTGCACACACTACGTAATTCATCCGTATCAAGTTCAAACATTGGTAAACTAATCTAGGGTGATAGAAGTCAGAACAGTGGTTACCCTTGTGGGCCACTGAATGGGAAGGGACATGAGGAAGCTGGAGATGTTCTGTGACTTGATCTGGGTGACAGTTACATGCGTGAGCACTTATGTAGAAATTCATTCCATACACATAAGCTTTGTGTATTATACTGAATTTATACCTCAAAAACAGAAGTTTTTTAAAAAGAAAAGTGTACCCTGATTTTATGTCCAACTATAAATAAAGTTACTTGGCTTTCCCTGCAGGCACTTACACAGCCCTCCTATCTCATTATGTCCCTGCAGACTTCCCCTCCCCGGGGCAGGCATATATTTGAGTATTCTTTGCATCTTGGCAGACACTGAGAACCATACTTACTTCAGGCAAGAATGGGAGGGCTGGGGTAGGGAAATTCTGCATCTGGGAAGTAATCCTGTTCCCTGCCACCCAGCAGAGAAGCAGTACAAGCTCAATAAATGTTTATGAATAACAACAGTCGCTGTTTGATAACATTTACCACACACCTTATACTAGGTGCTAATAGCTTTCCGTTTTCTTATTTAATACTTACATAACTCTACAAAGCAGTTCCATTTTTAGTCCCATCATGCAGGTGAGGAGATGGGAGATTTATGGAACGTTGGTTAAGTTACTTGCCCAAGGCCCTGCGGATAGTTGGGTGGTGAATGCAGATCCCAACCCAGGTTATCTGAATTTAGAACCTGGATTCTAAGTCACTTGCTATGCAAGAAACGGGTGGTGTCCAGGTCCCGCCTGAATGTTATATCACACACCACTGAGCCCTGTGACATTCCAAGTACGGCTCAAGTTGTCGCGGTGGCCAGGATTGGCGACGGATTCCTCAAGGCCCTTAGTCCCACTAACTGCACACAGGTGGTTAACGGCGGCCGCAGAACCAACTGTGTCGGCCGGCGGCCGGCCCTTTCCCCAGTGACCTCCAGAAGCTTTGCTTGGAGAATCGGGAAGGTTGTCCCGGCTCAGAAACCATACTTTTTTTTTCTTCCCCCGACTTCAAAACACAAGCCGGAGGTAGACGGCGGCGGGGGGTGTGGGGGGGGTCACTCCCCGCTCCAGGAAAGAGAGAACTAACGCGAAACTTCCCAGAGAAGCAGAAGCAAAACAGGCCTGAGAGATGGGAAAAGCCAGGAGGAAAAGTTACGTGATCACCGGGGGAAGCAGGGAGTAAGAGAGGCCGACAAACTCCAAAGTTAAGGGCCACCCTCCACCCCCGGCCCCCGCGCAGCCCCTC